TTTACTAATTCCCCCCAAGTTCTGATTGGTTGAGGATATTAAAGGTTAGTTTGAGCGTTAGGATTAAGGGTTAGGGTTAGGACTAGAGAGAAGATTATATGTGGAATTGTCTTCCCGACATTTTTATTAGTGCTTCGAGCCAGTTTACCCATTCATTTTCTGTATTTTTCACATTATTCGCCTTTTTAATTTTCTTGTGTCGGATTTGTTTTGCCGAAATGATCAAAAATTTATGCATCTTTATTGGTTGATTTAGAAGACCCGGTGTGTAGTCAACCAATCAGAATTTGGGGGAATTAGTAAATGTCACAATCACAATCTTATCTTTAAGCTCCTTTACAGGGTTGCTCTTGAAATATTGCCTCTTCTGCAACCATAACCATTGGGTGAATTACATCTAAAATAACCATTGGTAAATTACAGCTTGTACATTTCACCATTCATACCGAAATAAATGACTTAAATTGAGTCAACTCACACATTCCCAGACCATAATAGATTTTCAACGGTTGCTTGTGTGCAAATTGGATTATAAAGCTCGTCAAAATACGAACTTTTCCATATGAATATGTGCTAATAGATGATTCATCAGTCTAAGGAACGCGTCATCAATCTTCTTTGGTCCAATTTTTGTGAATGTTAGCCCAGTTTAATCGTTTGATTTGATTTGTTTCATTAATCCATGGTATTTTACGTGCAATATGGGATTTGACACCATTTTTTTAAAACTTATCAGATACATGGAGATAATGAGCTTTTAGTAGCAAGCAGGTGTTTTGGCATTCTCCTCGTCATTAGATTTGCTTTAATTTTTCGAAGAATTAAACGTTTCAGAATGATCAACAATTAATTTTCGACCACAATTTTGGGTCGTTTAATACAGTTTTTGACACTAGCGCTAGTAGCGATCGTTCAAGAACACGTGCAATTTTTGCAGAAGATATGCCTTGTTTATTGAGTATTCAACAGTGTGTCATTCTTCGTTAGTAAGATCTTTGTTGCAGACAAAAACATGCAGATTCAATTTTAATGTTATTATATTTGCTAATCTATAATACTAGATCTTTCTAAAGATATCAAAATCATTTAATTGATCCATTGGATGTGAAGATATTACTGCGCGATATACTAAAACCTTTTTACGATTGTCCTAATTTTTAGATACAGTATTCTAAAAAAGCACGTTAATATAGTTCTTTTAATATACATAAACCATCGCTTATGTTACTATCATTTCAAATTTTAAATAAAACACTATACTTATGGTGCATAATAATAAATCTAAAGTCATCAAACGTTTGTATTTTATAAAATGTATAAACTTCTTTACTAAGGAGTAAATACAAAGTTTAATCTGTGAATATGATAGAATAGACCTTTTCTGAACATATTCACAAATTAAATTTTGTATTTACTCCTTAGTAAAGAAGTTTATACATTTTATAAAATACAGTGACAATCATAATTAATGCAGCAAAAAAAATTTCGTTAAATCAAAATATTTTGCAAAATTAGAAGATATCCTATTTGTTTTTTGATAATTTGTTCATTAATACATGCTCATTATTAGTTTCAATTCAAAAATAAGTACATAATTAATACAAATACTAATACATGTTGCATTATTTATGATTATTTTATGCAAAGATCAGATAACTAGGAATATAAATCAATTCTCAATCTAAATCAATTCTAAAATCAATTAATAATTTTGATTAATTGTTTAATTATTTTAAATAAATTTGATTAATCAATTTTCAATTTGAGAATTCATTCTCAACCCAAAATTGATTCTCAAGTAGATATGTTCAATCAAACAGCTATTTAATCAATTTTATTCATGTGTAATTAATTTTTTCACATTTAAAAATAGATATTCAGATAAATCTGATATTGATTATAATAAAAATTATCAAATTTAGCATGAAAGAATTTGATATAATAATAGAAATTAATTTTCAATCCAAAATTGATTTTCAAGCACAATATATACAACAATAATATAATATAATAATAATAATAATAATAATGATAGTAATAGTAATAATATAACTGATCTTTGATTTTGTTTTTTATTGCATACTAATTTTTATTGAAATAATTGAATTTATAGCACTTTGATTAGTTGAAATATTGTTATCAAATTGAAATGCTAATTAATATCAATTATTTTTAGCTAGTATTATTATTAGTATTATTAAATTTTATATTGATAATAATTTTCTTGATTATTATTTTTATTTAATAACAAAGTAGTTTGTCATAATATTTGAAATATTTTTTACAAGTGAAAAGCATAATTTTTTAAATATATATATGAATTATATATTATTGATTAATTTTTTTCTTTAAAATTAATTTTCAAGTTTAATTTTAATAATTTTTAAATTTTAATTAATTTATCAATTTTTAATCTAGTTATAATATATAAATATTATATAAAAAAGTATTATTTATATATTGTATAATTTTATAACTTTAATCAAAAAATTATCTTTTAAATTATAAAAAAATATTTTTTTAATATTAGTTTTAATTATATATTATATTTAGTACTAAACTAAATTGAACTTTTACCTAAATTTGAGTCTAATTTGAATTTAAACTAAACTTGAATCAAACTTTGTAGTTTAAATTAAATTCAAATTAAATTATTGTGTAAGTTCAAGTTTGATTCGAGTTCAATAGAAATCAATATATAATATTATATACCAATTTGTAGTTCTAAATAAGTAATTATAAGTATTAATTATATAATTATATAATTATACTATTTAGTAAGTATTAAAAGTTTATTTAGTAATAATTAAATTATTTTTATTTTTATGATTATTAAATTTTATTATAAATTTTATATATTTCTTTAAATAATCATTATTAATAGCAACTATCTTATATTAATTATAACTTTTATTTCTGGTTATAATTCTATTTATAATTATAGTTTATTATTATTATAGTAAAATAAATATTTATTATAAAGTAACTAAAGTGAATTAAAATTATAATAATTTTTAAATCTAAATATCTTTTTGAATATTTAATTTATATATTATAGAATAACATTTTGATATTAAAAATTACAAAAAGTTTTATCTAAGTAAAGTATACAAAATAATATTTGTACAAAATTATAAAAATTGAATTATCAAAGATTAATTAATAATTATTTGTTTTGATAAGCTCCAAGTTTAAGATTTTTAGTTCAAATAAAAAATATTAATCTAGATAAAGTTTGAAGATAAATCAATAATAATTTGAAATTACTTTATATTTCAGGATGTTGGTAACTTTTGTAAAATTGATATAATGAATGCTGAATTATACTGACAGATACTCTATAAGAATCTCATGAATATTATTAGAGATCACAAATTCACTGTCAGAAATATTATATTTTAACAAGATGATAACTCTAAGCATACAGCAAATTTGACAAAATAATAACTTTAGAATAATAGAATTAAAGTATTGGATTAATCTTCACAATCCCCTGATATGACTCCATCAAATATTTATGAAATGAGATTGATCATTACCTTCAGTGTCTTTCTAGACAAATTTCAGGTAAGAAGGACTTGAAACAAGATATAACAGGTTTGGCAAGAAATTTTAATGTTGATATCTGTACCAATCTGATTCACTCTATGTCAGAAGAGTTTGTGAGATGGCTACACAAGATGGTAGAGTGAACAGAATTTTATCTAATATATATATTTAAATAAAAAAAATTAGTATTTTAGTTTAGTTTTATAAGACATATTTCAAAAAGAAAATAAATAATGCAACAGTACTTACTGAATAAATGTATAATTTGCGGGATAATTGACTTATGTATCCATATTTAATTTTTACTATCTAAAACGATACTATTAACGAATAAAACCCACAAAAAAAGGATATCTTTGAACTTGCATGAAATATTTCGATTCAACGAAATTTTTTTTGTTGCATTAATTATGATCGCCACGTTTGATGACTTTAGATTTTATGCACCATATAAAACTGAATTGTCGAGTGAAAATAAAGAGATCGACAGTCTAATAAAAGAATAGGTAGAATATTCATCTTTGGAATGGATTCTTTTGAAAGATTTACTAACGCTGATGTTGAATATCTTGCAAAGGGGATATTTTATAAAGCATCTCTGCATCGATACGAGTGAGATCACGGGAGACGAGCTAATAAAGATAAACGTGAATTTGCATCAAAGCAGATTAAAAGAGGTAAAAATGAACAATTTAAACAAGTTGTTGTTTTATTTTCTAATAAACATAAGCTTTTCAAAAATAGATTCGGACTGCTCTAAAGTTCGGTGATCTTACTTTGGAATAAGTTATTATATAATAACTAAAAACACAGTACGAATGAATTTGATAGTACATTCAAACCTCGTTATAGTGAAGACATCGGGTAGGGAAATAAACCACTATATCAAGTTGAAGTTTATTAATGATTCTAAAAAAATTCTTCACTATAGAGAGAGTTCACTACATGGAGTGAGTTGTAATGGGTTCAAAATGGTTACACAAATATATTGAGGAATTGACTTGGAGAGTAGAATTAAGTCATTATTGGAGATCGAAAGTTGTGCATTGTGACTTTCATCTTAGAATATGCAGTCACACTCTCTATAGTGTAGGTAAAATCTCCACTATACATGTAGAAAGTAAAGTTTACTAATTACATGTATCGGTATAGTAAAACATTTTGTGTAACGAGAGCTCCACTACTCCACTATAAAAAATTCATGTACTATTATCAGCCTAGCAGATAAAAAATTTAAGAAGTATCTCCTTATATCAGTTCAGTCCAGAGGTGTTATCGTTATGACTTTTCTCTTCACAAGTTATATGAAATTTCACCTTAGAGTGTAATATCTTGACGTTCAGTGCTCCGATTCGTACAAAAATACAACCATTCAATTCGCCTTGACTAGATAATTGAATGGTTGTATTTATGTACAAATCGGAGCACTGGATGTTGAGATATCGCGCCATAACGTCGCTGATGCATTATTTTATCGATCAATTTTCCATTAGAAATGTCACTTAGGACGGGATATCTCGACATCCAGCGATCTAATTCAAACAAAATTACTACCATTCGATTTGTCTCGACTAGAATTGGATGATCAATTTACTACATGTTTTTATCATTGCTGCTTTTAACACTTTGCCAAATGCTCTTCACCTGATTTTTGGCTGAACGTGGACTAATTCAACAAGAAATATAAAAATACGGTCATAAAGTTAAGTACATCTTATAATAAATATGAATGTTCACAACTAAATATTTACCTCTAGGTGATATTCTATTCCAAGTTTCATCCGGAACTTAACTATATTGAAATGTACTGGAGTGCGGCCAAAAGATATACACGGGAAACTGTGACTATACCTGAAAACAAATGTACTGATTACACTCGATCCTATTCCAGTAGAAATGATCAGAAAATATGCATGACTTTCTTATCGGTGGATGGACGCATATAGAAAGGAACTAACAGGACGAGCAGCCGAGTATGTCGTTAAGCAGCAGAAAAGTCATCGTTGAATTAGTGAAAGTATAATGCATCGGATTGATGTTTTAAATTAGCTAAAAATTATTCTTTTAATATTCGTTACAATATTCATTGTAATGTACGTACATGTATTTGGCTTTTTTCTTTGTTCTGATTGGTCAAACCAATTGTTACTTCATAAGATCTGCAATTTG